GCATGGGACCACCCAGATGAAAACCATGCAAATGGCAAACATTGATTGTGTGGTCTCTTTGCTCTTTAGGGCATCGAGCCCAAGTCCTGTTCCAACAACCCAGCCACTGTGATTGAAGACTGGCGTCTGGGTTGCACAAGACCTTGTTGGAAGCAGTTGGATTTTTTTTTTCTTATTTATCTTGAAACATTTCAAGCTATACGTCTAAAAGGACTGATATAAGGAAGAAGATCTTTGGTGCACACCAAAAGGTCAAGAGAAAATTTGGTTAGAATCCCATTGAAGGGGCATTTTCTATTTTCAATGAGTGGCCAATAAAGTAGAGAGCCATTGTTATTATTAGTCAAAGAGTTATTATTGTAAATTATTCAATTCGATTTTTTTGAATTTCACATTTGGATATGTGGTGTTGTGTCACAGTTTTATGGTAAATATTTGTAGATACTCCCTTTGGATACCTGAATATCAGCCACTGCAGTCACATCCTTGCTAAATCACTAGATAGTTACATGAGATGCCTCATTGAGATTGTATTTCATTAATATTATATCATATATAATAAATCATTATTATAGGCCAGAATACAGCAAGATAAAAGGAACAGTGAAACAAATAGCCGTGTTTCAGTACTAAGAAATAAGCACAACATATACATGTAATGATTTAATATGGCAATCCCCATGTCACATATATAATTAAAAACTATAAGGACCCATTTAGATCTATGCATGCATCTTTTGTAGCATTAGGTGTGTTGTTGCGCAGCAACACGATTTTGCTTGTGCGCTTACATATGTTGCTGACACGCGATGAATCGCGCTTCCAATACATTTTTTAAATTAGTGTTTGGAGTGGATAGAATTAACAGCCATTGGCCAAGGCCTTTTAATACCTGTTGCCAGTGCATCAAAACTCGTGTTACATGCCTTTCATGCCTTACCATTGACATCTATGTGCCGCCCAATGCAGTAAAATGCAGAAAAAAATGGACATGTGTTATTTTTAAAATACTCCAGTGCTGAGTTCGGAACAGGCACTATCTTTATTATTGGGATTAAAATGCAACAGTGCTAATGGGCACTGAATATAAAAGCAGATATCAATACGATTTGATTAGTTTATTTGCATGGATTCCAGTCACAAATGTTTAAAAGCTCTTTGTCCCTTATAAAGTGTTCATGTCACGATAATAATGTCAGAGCAGAACAGATAGCAAAACAACCTTGTGCACCTAAAGTCACCTGTAAGGGGGTAAGACTTCATATACACATTCAAACCTGGAGCCAGGTTGAATCGCAGGCCTCCCCCAAACTTTCACAATACAGTTGGCATGCCTACCTATGGGTACTGACGCACATTGCATGGTTAGATGTGAATTGGGGCATACCAGCACTCAGAATCTGCATATGGTGCACCAAGGAATAGGAGACCCTCAGAGAGTATAAATGAGGCTTTGCCATGTTACATAGCAGATAAGGTTGGAAAAAGATACAGGCCCATCCAGTCCAACCTATGTGTGTCAGTTTGAGCCTTGTAAGACTATACACACCCCTGTATATTATGCCCATTGAGGAAGGCCATCTTTGAAAGTTGTCAACCCTCCCACCTGATACCAGTACCTGGGGAAGGGAGTTCCACATTATTGCTGCTCTAATGTTAAAGAAAGCCTTGCACAATTTTCGATTTAAAGATTCTTTTCTCCAACCTCATCATCAGAGACTTTAGATTCAACAATTTGTTCCCATCACTACAGTCACCATTGACTAATTTGTAGATAGTAATCATGTGTTCTCAAACACCTGTTCTCCAAGGGGAATAAGTGTAATGTACTTTGTTCCTCATAGTTGAGGTCCACCACCCCCCTTATTAATTTCATAGCTGTTCTTTAAACTCTTTCTAATTTAAGGACATCCTTGTTGATGGGTGACCAGAACTGTACTGCATACTCAAGATGCTTTGAGAAGTATCTGCAGGTACTTTGTGGTAACCTCCTTATCCTGATGCTTGGAGAGGTATCTGCAAGTACTTTGTGGTGACCTCCTATCCTGATACTTGAAGAGGTATTGGCAAGCACTTTGTGGTGACCTCCTTATCCTGATGCTTGAAGAGGTATCTGCAAGTACTTTGTGGTGACCTCCTTATCCGGATGCTTGGAGAGGTATCTGCAGGTACTTTGTGGTGACCTCCTTATGCAGATGCTTGGAGAGGTATCTGCAGGTATTTTGGTGTGACCTTCTTATCCTGATGCTTAAGGAGGTATCTGCAGGTACTTTGTGGTGACCTCCTTATTATGTTGCGTAAAGAGGTTTCTACAGGTACATTGTGGTGACCTACTCATCCTGATACTTAAAGGAGAACTATGGGGTTAGGGCTTTTCCCAATAGTTCTCCTAAGGGTAACGAGAGGACACAAACAAGCGTCCTCCCGTCACCCAAAGCTCAGTATACCGCGAGCTACAGGTCGCGGCATACTGAGACGCCGCAGCCAGAATGGATCCCAACAATTCTGTCTGGATCCACCCAGCTGCGTGAGTGACAGCTGGCTCTGCCTATCTAGAGGCAGAGCCAGAAGTACCCGCCCCCTCCCCTGTCCGTTACGCCAGTCATCGCTGGAGGACCGGACAGGGGAGGGGGAATCCCTGCAGGGAGCCGTGAGTGACAGTCACGGCTCTCTGCACAGATAGATCGAGAAGTGAGCGAGCGCCGGTATGTGTTCACTCACTTCCCGATCTACTGAGCCGACCTGTGACAGTTACATTGTCACAGGTCGGCTCAGATTATGAGGCTGAGTGAAAATCACTCGCCTCATAATTCTCCTTTAAAGAGGGATCTTTGTGGTGCCTAATGCTCAGAGAGGTATCTGCAGGTACTCTGTGGTGACCTCCTTATCCTAAGGAGTGATGAGGTATCTGTAGGTACTTTGTGGTGACCCCCTGCTTATGACTTATCCTAAAGTGGTAACCAAATTAAGAGTGATCAAGTATCCAGGTGCGATCTGATTGTCTGGAGCCATGCCCATAAGGAAGCAGTCTACTGAATATATATGATCTGCTTTCCCGAGGACACATTCATGAATAAAGAATGAGAAGGAATCAGATGCAACTGCTGTCATACATGGGATTGTCCTCCAGGCCATCAGAATGTGGGTGTATCGGGTGTTTATCATCTTTTGTGAACCGCCTTTACATTCATGGAGGGTTTTGGGTATCCCTCTGCAGGGTGTGAACCAGAATTTCTTATATACCTTCAAATTGATTCTTCCATGTGAAGCACAGCTGTCCCGTAAGTGTCGGCCTACTACAAAACAGAGCAGGAAGAAGGTCTGAGATCCCATTTACACATCACAGTCCGACAGACACAAGGAGCCCATCAGTTAAACGTGTCAACCGGAGTATGAGTGTGACTACTTGCACCACTTTATGGAGGCGGTGAGCCTGAATTCCAACACTTGGTCATAAAAGATATCTCAGGTGTGTTGTGAAGGGCCAAACTTGGAGATGCGTGAGCAATTAGCGGAGGTGATATATGAAGAATGAGAAGGAGATACTCTATATACAATTATTTATAGTGAAGTAGTAGAATGGGATCTATGGAGTTATTAGCCAGTTAAGTTCCTAGTTCTTATTCTCCTAAATCTAATATTTATATATAAATATATATATATAAGAGAGTGGCAAGACTGGTACAAGGCAACAGTGCAGTGTCAGATTCCTCGCATCACCTTTCAACATCTCGTGGAGTCACGAGGCGGCCCAACAAAGTCATCTCGTGGAGTCATCTCGTGGCCCAACGAAGTACTGATGGGGTGGTCATAATAATCTGGCCACTCAGTGTATATTATATATAAAGTATAGCATGCATTTTAAAAGATAAGACTATTTGACTGAATATGTAATGTATAAAATATGAACTTGTTTAAATAGATTTGGCAATGACAGGACTATAGAGCTGCAATATGCAGAATAGAGGGAGAAATAACAGGCAGTTGGTGGATAAAGTATAAATCAGAATGTTTCCTCAGAGCTTAGTCTAATACCAAAGACCACAGCGCTGCCATTATCCTGCACGGGTTTGCTATTATCATTGTGTGTTCCCAGCAGAGCTTTCTTTGCTTTCCTTAAAGAAAAACTCCTGACGAGAGATTGATTCAATAAATGAATTTATTTATATACCATCAAATGTATTTTTAAATGCAAACACTTGTAAGTACCTGAATTTGACCTGGTATCAGCCTCTTCCAGTCTGTGTACAGCAGAGCTCTGTCTGGCAACTGTAGAAGCAGTATAAGGAGCCAATCTGTTGTGCTTGCAGTGCAAGTGGCATGCTGATAGGAGGCGATAGTGGAGTGAAAGAGAGATTAACTTAGCAACCCTGAGCTTGCTAAGAGAAGGAGACCGGTTATTAGTCACAAAAGTGTGCTAAAAATGTGATAAAACACTTGTTTTGCACATTTTCAGATATTCCCATTGAAGTCTGTTGGGCCAATGGGGTCCAATTGACGTCTGTGGGGCGTGATTCCTCATGAGAAAAAGCTCACTACTTTGACGTACAACAAGCGGCAGAACAACGCTCAGCTGTGAATGGGCACCATTGACTATAGGAAAAGCGCAACAAATCTCTTAGGTATGAAGGTGGGCTTGGCTTGTTCAATAATTGTTTGCATGATTGTACAGCTTGGCTCAAAGTCTTTCCACGCTACTGGTAAAGGTTTAAAAAAAACCAGCCCATTATCTACGCATATGGATGAGACGAGCGTGCATGCACACTCCTGTGCGGGGCGAGGAGACCATTGGATGCAAGCAAGATCTTCATGATATAAATCTAAAGCTTGAATTGCGCAAACATTCTTCACAATTGCGTAACTGTACTTCGCAGCAAAGATCTTTTCCATAAAATCTTTGTTCTGTAGATTGTATTATTCAGTAGACCCTCCTGAGGACAGACAACCATACAGGACTGATGCAGAGAACTAAGTCTTTGATATGTTTGTGTATTCTGCAGGGTCAGAAGTTTGCCCGCAGTGTGACAGCGAGATAAAAGCGGACTCTCTCTATGAACACTTGTGTGCCAGTGAATTTGGTAAGTCTATCTCACATATCTTACTGTATATAATTCAACCTGTGTGTCTTCATTCCAACAAAATGTTCAAGTCTCATCCTTGTCTTGTGGCCATTCATTACAACGACGAGGGTGGAGCTGTGACACCTCCGTTCTGTTCTAATTAGAGATATGGTCTAAGGGAAGGCAGTTGAGGTGATGGTAAGGGACCTCCTGCTGATCTAATTCTAAAAGACCTTGAGGGGCTAATACATCAGATCCCACTCAGCAACAATGTTTTATTGCTATGTTGAATTGCTTTCTAACATTTCACTCATACATAAAGTGGACCATGCATTAAAAATGAGAGATCCGCTTATTTAAAGAGGGCCCCATTCCCATGTCATGCTGTTAAAAATGAAAAACAAAAAACCTTGTGGGTAACAAATAAGTGAGCATACTTACCATACCCGTGGTTTCCCCCGTGGTGTCTAGGTGAGGGTTACATCACTTTCCTTCTGGTGAGACCCCAGGAAATGGTGAGTAGCTCAGATTTTGCAAGAAGATGCTCCTGCACTGGATGGTGGAGTATCATCTTGTAAGAATTTGGGAATACTCAGCAATCCTTGGGCTCTTGCTGGAAGGATTGTGACGTCACCCCTAGCAGCACACTGGGAGTAAGGTAAGTATATCTACTGATGTTTTTTTTACCCATAGGTTATTATTATTATTACACAGGATTTATATAGCGCCAACAGTTTGCTCAGCGCTTTACAATATAAGGGAGACATTACAATTACAACACAATTCAAGACAAGATGGTAAGGAGGGCCCTGCCCGTGAGGGCTTACAATCTAAAAGGGAGGGGCAAGTGACAGGTTACTTTTTGTTGTATTTTAGTACAGTGCCGTGACATGGGGGCTCTTAGTAAAGAGGCAGACCTTGCATGTAGTGCAAGGCCCACTCTACTCCCCATTGTAGCATCATGGTGAAGCTCAGCAGACTTAGATTCATGGTTTAGAACAGGCCAGTTTCACATCTCAACATAGTTTCGAGGCTGGTGGTGGGGCATAAAGCAATAACTTGCTGTCCTAAAATGAGGAACAATCCTCTTATTTTTAACATAATTATGGAATGAGACGTGGGAAATCCTTCTGTTTTAGGAATTCTTACTCTAAAAGGTATCCAATAAAATATGTAAGGGCTAACATGACCAGTTCTCATTGTGATTGTTCTATGTGAGGAGATTGCAAAGCAGGTCATTTGGTATAATTCAATTTTAAAAATAATGATTGAACCTCAAAAAAACATCAGCTGGTGGTCTTGTTTGTATTTTAGTTTATTTCTACAATTTATATAGTGCCAACATATTATGCAGTGCTGTACAGAGGTCATAGAAACAAATCTATTCGTGTACCCAGGAGAAGCTCACGTGTTAATGCCCCTACCACACACTCACCAGGGCCAATTGGGTGGAAGCCCTTTATATATACTGTATAGTTGTGTGCTTTATTGTTAGCTTTTACACATAATGGAGTGTCCCCATTGACCAACTAGAGGCCACTACTGTTATCAGCCAGCCAGAATGCCCGTGACTGTCAGTCATTGCAGCTGATAGGATGCAGTCTGTGTTTGGCCAACAATTATCCACTGGCTCGTTTGATTTTTCAGTCAAATTTTATGGAGTCGGGCGGAACCAACAGGGCCACAAGGCTCGAATTTTGACTGATTCAACAGGATTCGGATGAAATATGAGTCATATATGTGCAACACGAAATGCACCTACACCAATCAGCAGAAAGGAGTGACCCTTTGACCAACTAGAGGCCACTCCAAACTTGAAAAAGACAGCTCGAAGCGTCACCTCTACAATGTATTAACAGGGACATTATTCTATTTCCTGCTGGTGTTTAATCAACTTGAATAATTTACATGTTTACACATAATGCATATAACATATAGTGTTCTGTTTTTGGGTATAGAGTCCTTTAAATAGCATTTGCGAACATTTCCCCTGTGTCAGTGGTAACAGCAAAGCAGCATGGGAGCTTCTATTATCTGTGTCTTTGCTATTCCAGCTGTTTGTAGGTTGGGATGATACTGCTGAGAGACTCGATGTAGTCATATCCCATTGTAGACGCATGTATAGTCTTCAGCTGTAGGATTTTAGACCATCCCCGGTGACCCTCAGCAGTACAGCCCAGCTAGAGGATACATCAGAACAGCGACAGGAAATAACTAGCCATTGTCGCAACATTCTTTTTCCATCAGAGTTTATTAAAAAGGCTTCAGCCTTTATGTACATCTTGTTTGTATGAAGCTGGGATTTTTGTAGTCCCTTTTTTTTAATGAAGGAGCAACTAAACTTTTATGGAATGTGAGCTTTCTTCATTTAATGCGCAATTAGGGACAGTGGGTCATTTTAAGATATAGGCAAGCTCAGGAGCAGAGTATATATCTTATAGAGTGGGTCATGTTGGTGGACCTTTCAAGCTCAGACTATCTAAGACACTCTTCCTAGGTCTAGCCATACACGTGTAGCTTTCTCTTCAGCAGCACAGGCAGATGGAGAGAAATCACTCAATCCCCTCCATCCATGCTTACCAGTGTAGAAGAAGGAACCTCCCCTGCTGACTATTGTATTTAACAAGAGGGAGGAACTGTGACTGTCAGTCACTGCATCTAGTAGGCCAACAATTGTCCCCCAGCTCCTTTAATTTCTCTGTCAATTTTGTGGAGTTGAGTGGAACCAACAGGACCACCCAGAGATATAGTAAAGGAAGAATCTGGCCGCACGACATTCCGCGCTGAATCAGGTTATTGAAGGTGCATCAGTGATACTGAGTCCTGTCCGAGGTCTGCCCCCTTTGACATGTTTCACCCAATCTGGGCTTAGTCATGGAGAGGGGGTGTTCTGTCGAGAACGCCGACCCAGCCGAATTTGCAAACTCAGCATCTGCGCTTTCGCACAGACGGGATTAACAAGGAAACAGCCATTTATTGACGAAGTATTAATTTGTAATTGTTACCGTTAATAATATGCCATCCATGGCACTAAATGATGGATGGCATTTTATGTAATTACTTACGATATTAATTGTGAGTGTGCATTAAATGCCATCCATCATTTATTGCCATGGATGGCATATTATTACCGGTGACAATTAATGACTGAAACAAAATACTTTGTCATTAAATGCCTGTTTCCTTGATAATCCCGGCCTATGCGCTAGTGCAGATGCTGAGGTCGGCAAATTCGACTGGGTCTGCATTCTCGACAGAACTGGGTAGATCTCGGGCAGGAGTCAGTGTCACTGATGAACTTTCAAAACACTGATTGATCGTGGAATGGAGTGCGGCTGGATTCTTCCTTTACTATATATCTGTTTGGTTGGAGCGAGGACACACTCCTGCCGGCGAGCACCCGGCTGTCTTTTCCCTGCTAAAGCCGTGGAGGAGCGGTGCTTTTTTCCTATGCCTTGGTGAGGACCACCCAGGGCTTGAATTTTGGCCAGCTTAAGCGGACATTATCCAAAATTCAAGCCATATATGGCAGCTTAAGCAGATCCTTATGCTTAACATTAGATACACCTACACCAATCAGCATAAAGGAGTGTCCCCATTGACCAACCAGACGCCACTATTGCTTTCAGCCAGCTGGAATGCCCGTGACTGATAGGATGCTGTCTGTGTTTGGCCAACAATTTTCCACCTGGCTCCTTTGATTTTTCGGTCAACTTTTGTGGAGTCGGGCGGAATCCAACAGGGCCACAAGAGTCGAATTTTGGCTGATTCAGCAGGATTCAGATGAAGTTTGTGCCGTATATGTAGAACACGAAATGCACTACACCAATCAGCAGAAAGGAGTGTCCCCTTTGACCAACCAGAGGCCACTCCAAACTTGCAAAAGACAGCTTGAAGCATCGCCTCTACAATATATTGACAGGGACATTCTATTTCCTGCTGGTTTTTAATCAACTTGAAAAATTTACATATTCACAAGACTTGAGTGCTGATGACAAATTTGTTGCATATAACGATTTCTACTATAAATTGGCATCTAGTAAAAGGTGCTACCTGGACTTGATTTGTAAACAAGCCATCAGAGATTTTAGCCGTAGGATTTGGGGGATTTTGGGTGGGTTAGGAATCAATCTATATCTGCTTCTGATATATTTCTTTGTTTTAGCCTTGAAGGTTTCTGTGCGAGAGGTGAAGAAGGACAGCGGAGACCGAAAGCTGATTCTGAAGAAGAAGAGGGCAATAAAGAAGGGTTCCATCCCGAGGAAGGATTGGGTAGACTTGGTCCTTTACCTGAAGAATGGTGCCAACTGCCCATGCCCCGAGCTGGAGCAACTGAATGGCCAGTTTCTGGTTCTGGGGCGGAAGGTGAAGAATCAACACATTCTTACCGCAATCCACAAGTGGGACAAGGCCAATCGCGAGTTTAACCGTTTTATGCGCAAAGTGAAGAAGACCAAGTGCCCAAAGCCACACTCGGTGTTCATGTGAGACTGTTTTCTCATTTAAAGACAAAGCACGCTCTCCCCCATAACACGCTGTTTCTGCTACTGGAGCTGGGACTCTGAAGCAGATCGAAGCACCGAGATGGTGTTAAGGGGCACATCAGCTTTACCCCTACCCTATATCTCCCACAGACAATGGGAAAAGGACACCCACTGAGACATTGAGACTGCTAAAAAGCCGAGAAACGTATGTCACTCACCTGTAGAAAACAGATTATCATACATACTAGTAGTCTGTGATCACTTACAGGGTCAGTCTGGGATCACTTACAGGGTCAGTTCATCTAAAACTAATTTGTCAAATTTCGGTGGACACCAGCAGGTGTTGCCATTGTCTCCCCTTTTCATATCTCATGAAGATCCTGATGGGAAGATCTATGTTCATTTCTAGACCTGTCGATCTTCCACGGCCATTATGAGAGTGTCTCACTCTCCTTATTAGTTATTTCATATAGTTGATATTGTGGATCTGCAGCGGGAAGTTCTTGCAGCGGGAAGTTCTTGAAAGCTATAAGAATGAACTCAGTCCAGCAGAATCCTGCCATAAATGTAAAATGAGTTTTGGGTAAACTGGCCCTAAGAATACGCCCAATAATTTGGGTTCAGTTCATTAATTTACACCTTTAATTCAAAACAACACAGATCATGTATTGTAATTAATGGGACAGCAGTGATGCAGCTGTGATTGCACAGAATGTGTTCATACATTCATTTATTAAAGGATTGTTTTGGTATAAATATTGTACATCATATGTGATCACTTGTTGAACCAACTTACTCTTTCCATGTTAGGTAACAGAAAGTCCATATGGGCCCTTATGCCCCAAGTATGTTGGCACGTTGGTGTCTCATGCTGGTTCTTACCAGAGCTCTCTTAAGATGGAACTTGTAGTACAGTTTGCACTGAGGGCACTACTGCACCTCGGGGGGTGGAAAAAGGTATTTGTCATGGGCACTCCCCATCCACACACCTGGCACCAGACTGTAGCGCTCCTGCCCTCTTCTTTTTCCTGTTCAGTCTTACAATTGGACACCCCGGTCCAATCAGTATAGGAGCAGCACACTGGCCACCATTCGCTACACCACCCTGGGAGTGCGCCAATCAATCAGTCTCATCTGAACTTTCTATTTGTCATGGCAGACCTGCATAATGGCCCAGCCTTACTGTCAAGAGAGAAGGCTTGGATTGGGGAAGCTAATTTTTAATCTTCTTGCTGCACTAGAAATTCAAGAGAGCCCTTGTTTTTTTAAGAGGACATCTTCCTCCAAGGTCATGCTAAAAAAACAACACAACTACTACGAGTATACTATGCCAGCTAATAATGATAAAGAGTTGAATGCTTTAATTCTAACCCAGACAGACACACTTAGAACATGAACATTCGGTGTTAGCTTAAGTGTCTAGACTCTAGAGGGTTGGTTTGAGTGGTTCAGTTAAGTGTTAAAGTACAATGAAACCTTTGGGGGTTTTTTTGCACAAGCAGTAGATAGATGCAAAAACATTTAGAAAAAAACAAGAAGTTACCAAAAAGGTAGTTACCTAACTGTGTCTCTGCTGCACGCTCGCGTCTGAAGATTCTTGGGTGGCTGGGAAGGATCATGGGGAGGGCGCATGCGCTGTAGAGATCTTGGGCCAGGAGAAGAGGAAAAAATCACAGGATACGTCAATGCATGCAGCCCGGTAACGTGCACCCGCACAGACTCTGTGGGACACAGAAGACACAGCAGTCAGCGCTGGATCAGAGACTCGCACCAGCCCTGGAGGGACTCCTGAAAACTACTAGAAAGAAAAAGATGATCGGATCAAGAGGCATCATTTAAGGTAAGCCCTTACACCAGCATAG